TTCAAATGACCACGAAGATCGTGATCAATGCGAAATCCTGCACATCCCAAGTTCCCGTCGTGTTCTCAGAGCAGAACGAAAGCCGCAGAAACTGCAACATCGTATGACTTTGTTCTCGCATTCTCAGAATTCCACGAATTCTTAACGCGCCAGCATGCCCGGAACATGCCCCAACAACACTTCGAAAACGCTCCAAGCTGTTGTCGCCTTCATGTCAGCTTTCTATCGCTCAAGTGTTCCCTTAAGTGTCCCTTAACTGCTCCTTATTTGCCCATTAATTGACAATTGGCAACACTGCTTGTGGCGGAACGAGCCAAACCTGCCAATATCACCGAGTTGCGAAGAAGCCCTTGCAATCCTTCTTCGACAATCGGGGCCTGCAGAAACAGCTCTCTGATCAAGAATAGGCAGCCACCCACTTGTTACTGCCCGACCTGAACACCGCAGTTCCATCCAGGGTTTCCGGCACCAGCGTCGGAAGGACCTGAGTGGGCAAAGGACTCGGATACAGCTACACAACAGCAAGCAGGGGACACCGCCAAACTTGAACTTTCAGCATAGCAACAAGTACGACTTTTCTGCAGCCGACGCTGGATGAATCACTGCGGTCTTTTAAGACTGTCAGCAAACTGCAACATGCACAAGACAGCAGGAGGCTAGCAACTTGCGACTCTAGACAAACTTTGTTGGTTTCGTGACCTTGTGCAAGCAGCTTGAGAGTCTCCAACTCCAACTTTGCTTCATGAACAGTGTTAAAAACGGCTTGCGGCGGCCCGGACTGCATGGTCAGGGCAAAAGCCAAGCTCTGGACAGTTCGCTTTTTCGGGAAACTCAGCTCACAGATATCACGTAGATCTGCGTGGACGGGCCGAAGAGGGATGAGTACTCGCTTTCCTGTACTCCATACTTGCCTGCCTCGGACACATGAACACACTCGATGCTCTTGATCTTCTTGGCAATGGTTGTGCTTCCGGAGTAGCCTCAGAAACGATGCTTGAAAGCTTTGTCTACTTACATGTTGCTGCAACCAACGACAAAACAAAAGTATCTCACAGTCTGTCTGTCTTGCATCATGCAGCCAAGCTGAAAGTGCGCAAACTCCGCCCCATCCAGCCTCCTGGACCACGAAGTGTTGGCTGCGCGGAGCTCGTGCGTCTTCTCGCCACTCTTCACCAGCTCATACCACTTCTTCGTCATCGGGAGCACCACAATCTTTCCCGTGCCAACTCCAGCCTGGGAAGGGATCGAATTATGTGGCCGGGACCCAACATATTTTACCCCTAGTCTATGCAGTTATTAGCCTTATTGTTTCACTAATGTATCCTTAATTGTTGCCCGTTGTCCTTGCTCTTTGTTGCTCGATTGTGGTCAGTGCACTAATAAATGACAAGCCTGCACGACGAGTTCATCGTCCTGGCCCTGCTCCTCTTCTTCACCCTCGTCCTCGCCAGAGCAGGCCTCGTCATCGCCAGTGTCGTCATTCTCGCCTTTGGCGAGGAAGGAATCCTCTTCAGCATCGCCCTCCGGCTCCGCGGTATCGCCGTCCAAGTCGCGCTGATCATCCTCTTTCAAGTCATTGACATCTGGCATGTCCTGCGGAGCGTGTCCACGCTGCAATTTCACAGCACAGCACATGCATGCCACAAACAAACGGAAATTTCGGCCTCGTCGACCGCCGCCGTTGGCGACGGCTCCTGAGGCTCCTCTGCCAAACCCTCCGCTTCCTCCGGAGGCAACTCTGGATACAGCACAGGGTCCAACTCAAACCTGGGCTAGGCTTCAAGCACAATGAAAGAACACACCTCTACGGCACGCATCACTCTCGAGCATCAATCACCCAAAGTAGTGCAACACAGGCACGCCAAAGGAACAGATTTCGAGCAGGAGACGAGTTCATCGGTCCATCGTGGTCGGAAACCAGAGTCTTTCCGCTTGCTGTCCAAGAGAACCCTGCACCTCGAGTCGTGGGCCTCTGGCGGGGCGTCGCTGTAGTCCGCGTAGAGGACAAGCTCTTCCAAATCCCATTTCTTGGGAATTTGAACCATGCGATCGTAATTCACGTCACAAAGGAAGATTTTGCCAGACTCAGGGTCGATTCCAAGGTACACATGCGTGGGCAGATCCTGCTCCGGGGGGCCCACATCGGAGGGGCTACGCTGCACCTCCTCAGGCTCGTCCTCGGAGAAGCTTACTCCCCCGTCGTCCACGGTCTGCCACAAGCTGTCCGTACAGAAGAGAGAGAGAGCGAGAGAGAGAGAGAGAGAGTGCGAAAGGCAGAGAGAGCGAGAGAGAGAGAGAGTTGCAGAGAGGCTTGGGCGCACCGCAACAGCTGATCGCCGCTCCAAGTAACTCGTTGTCGGGGAAACGGGAGTACGTGTACTCTCCGTGTCAGCGATATCGGTCTTCTTGGAGGGTGTCCTGCCAAGGCACTGATCAAACAAATAGATCTGATCTGCAGCAAAGCAACTCTAGTAACTATTATAAATTGTAACCCAACAATCCTCGGAGCTTTCTTCGGCTGGCCTTTGTCCCTGCCGCTGGGGCCACTGATCGCCTCCTGGTCCTCAGCAGTCCTGCAACATATGCAATTGCTGCCAGCTCACGACCAGATGCAGTCTACAGACTGAACTTCAGCGCTCGCGTCACACACGTAGAGCCCAAACCCAAAGCCGCCTTAAATGTCATTTAAAGTTCCCTTAATTGCTCCTTAATTGCACTCTAACAGGCCCTAAACCTACAAATGTCACTTAAGTTACCCTTAATTGCCCCTTAATTGCACTCTAACCTTCTCTAAACTTACAGTTGTCCCAAAACAATACGAGCCTTCCAACCTTTATTATTTATTTAAACTTGCAACATGGGGTCCTCTTCTTCTTGGGCGGGGGCAACGTCTTGGCCTTGGCTTTGCTAGCGGTCGCAGGGCCCGTTGGCGGCTCCTTGGCTTGGGGTCCTCGCAAACGCACGACCCCAATTATAACAAAACTCGAGAAACAACGCTTCGGTCCTGACACGTGCATTCCCTTCATCATCGTGGCAGCTGCCGTAACACCGGGGTCTGCGGCCATCTTCGCTTTCAGCCTCCGTGCTGGATCCTGGCATTCGAAATGCACAACTCATCATCAAAAGGATATGTACAACATCGATAGTACATACATACATACATACATACATACATACATACATACATGCATACATACATACATGCGTTGGGGTGGCATCCAGACGGGGGTTTCGGGGTTCAGGGTTTTACCACCAAAGCCGAGTGGGGTGGGGGGGGGGGGGCTTGTTTTGTGGGGGGTGG